AATAAATACAAATAAATCTTAAAAATAAGAGAGCTCATTCCATGTTGCTTCCCTTTCTTGCCTTCCCTAATCCCCTCAACCTGCTGTAATATTTTCTTCAGCTCTGGCATCCTAATACCATTTCACCATGGACCTTTCACTTACCACAATCTGACTTACATCATAGTGATCTGTGTATTTTTCCACCACTAGTACATAAAATGTGCATAGTGGTTGAATGAATGATTTATCTCTGTTACTAGAAGGTAAGCAGCCTGTAATGAACTTGTCATCGTCTCAGCAATGGCAGCCCAGGGTTTTTCTATTTGGTCTTTGCTCTGTCACTGTTGGATTGAACAGATCTGAATATCTTAAGTGCCTCTGTGGGCATCACACTCTCTTACAGGCTGTAGCTACCTTGGTTATGTCCAAGACTCAGAACTTGCATTGTCATTTCTAGCATAAGCACTGAAAGAATGGAAACAGGATATATAACCTCTAAACTAGTAGAGGGAGACAAGTAGAATGATAAAGTAATCAGTCTAAAAGAAATCAAGATAAGTGGCCAGCAAGCACCAGATGGTCAACAGCACTAATAAGGAAGATCCAAATCAAAACCACTACAAGATAACACCTCACACCCATTAGGATAGCTACCACTGAATAAACAGAAAATATGAAGTTGGTACTGGCACAGAAATTTGTTGGCACGTGGTGAAACTGGAAGCCTTGTGCACTGTTTGGGGGAATGTAAAATGGTACAGCCACTGTGGACAACAAGATAGCAGCTCTTCCAAACATTAAAAAACCCAATGACCATGCGATGTACCAAGTCCACTGCTGGATATGCTAAGGCACTTCCAAAAGTTTATAGAGAATGAAAAGTTTATTTGGTGCAAAAAAATTTTTTTTTGAAATCCACACATCTGTGTTAGTCTTCAAGAAGTTCATGGAGGGCCGGCGCCGTGGCTCAATAGGCTAATCCTCCGCCTAACGGCGCCGGCACACCGGGTTCTAGTCCCGGTCGGGGCGCCGGATTCTGTCCCGGTTGCCCCTCTTCCAGGCCAGCTCTCTGCTATGGCCAGGGAGTGCAGTGGAGGATGGCCCAGGTGCTTGGGCCCTGCACCCCATGGGAGACCAGGAGAAGCACCTGGCTCCTGGCTCCTGCCATCGGATCAGCGCGGTGCGCCGGCTGCAGCGGCGGCCATTGGAGGGTGAACCAACGGCAAGGGAAGACCTTTCTCTCTCTGTCTCTCTCTCTCACTGTCCACTCTGCCTGTCAAAAAAAAAAAAAAAAAAGTTCATGGAAAACACATGAGTGTCAAACTTTTTGGCAACAAAGTAAATTTATCTCTTCATTCATTTCCTATGAACTTCTTAAGGTACCTTGGATTTCCAAAAGAAGTGAAATCAAGGTTCCTAACAGGTATGTGTACACCTGTGTTCATAGCAGCATTATTCACAGTGCCAAGAGGTAGAAGCCACTCACATGCCATTCAATACATGAGTGGATAAGCAATATATAGTATGTCCCCATCAGATGGTATTATTCAGGGGCCGGTGGGTAAAGCCACCGTCTGCAGCACTAGCAGCAAATCCTGGCTGCTCCACTTCCAATCTATTTCCCTGCTAAAGCACCTGGGAAAGCAGTGGAAAATGGTCCAAGTTCTTGGGTCCCTGCCACTCATGTGAGAGACCCAGAGGAAGTTCCTGGCTCCTGGCTTTGGATCAGCCCAGCTCTGGCCATTGTGGCCATTTGGGGAGTGAACCAGCCGACAGAAGATCTCTCTCTGTCTCTGTGTCTCTCTGTAACTCTGCCTTTCAGATAAATAAATAAATAAATAAATATTTTTTTTTCAAAAATTTATTTATTTATCTGAATGACAGAGTTAGAGAGAGGCAGAGAGAGAGAGAGTCTTCTATCTGCTGGTTCACTCCCCAAAGGGCCACCATGACTGGGCCAGGCCAGGCTAAAGCCAGGAGCCAGGAGCTTCTTCCAGGTCTCCCATGAGGGTGCAGGGGCCCAAGTACTTGGGCCATCTTCTACTGCTTTCCCAGGCCATAGCGGAGAGCTGGATCAGATGAGGAGCAGCCGGGACTCGAACCAGTGCCTATATGGGATGCTGGCACTGTAGGCAGTGGCTTTACCAGCTACACCACAGCACTGGCCCTTAAATCTTTTCCTTTTTTAAAAGAGTTTCAGTGTGGGAAAATGAGAGCTTCTGGAGATAGATGGTGGTGATAACTTCACAACAGCATTAGTGTACTCGGTGCCCTTGAAATGTACACTTTACAATGGTTAAAGTGACAAATTTTATGTTCTGTGTGTTTTTGCCACACTAAAGATGACAAAGAAGACATTCACATTTGTTATTCTGCATTGTCACAGAAGACCCATGGGTGCCATTGTGTGTCCCTGTCACTCTCGATCCACCCCTTCAGCTCCTCTGGGAAGACTGAAGCTGGTGAGGTTGAAGGGGAGGAGGTGCTCCGAGGAGGCAACCCCTCACCTTCTTGGTCCCTTACAAATCCAGTTGTCAGATACGCCGTCCACCCTGGCCTAGTGTTTGAGAGGGGAAAAGGAACAGAGAAAAAGGATAAGTTTCTGGGAGAAAAATTAGAACTTTTTAATGCATAAAGCCATGCCAGAAGGGCCAGAACAACCAGGGTGTTAGTGTTCAAATACTGTACCAAGACTTCCTGGGAGCCAGCGCTGTGGCACAGCAGGTAAAGCCTCCACCTCTAGTGCCGGCATCCCATATGGGCGCCGGTTCGAGTTCCGGCTGCTCCACTTTTGATCCAGCTCTCTGCTATGGCCTGGGAAAGCAGTAGGAGATGGCCTGAGCCCTTGGGCCCCTGCACCCACGTGGGAGACCCGGAAGAAGCTCCTGGCTCCTGGCTTCGGATCGGTGCAGCTCAGGCCATTGCGGCCATCTGGGAAGTGAACCAGTAGATGGAAGACCTCGCTCTCTCTCTGCCTCTGCCTCTCCTTCTCTCTCTGTGTAACTCTGACTTTCAAATAAATAAATAAATCTTTTTTGTTTGTTTGTTTTTGTTTTGACAGGCAGAGTGGACAGTGAGAGAGAGAGTGAGACAGAGAGAAAGGTCTTCCTTTGCCACTGGTTCACCCTCCAATGGCCGCCATGGCCGGCGCGCTGATCCGAAGGCAGGAGCCAGGTGCTTCTCCTGGTCTCCCATGGGGTGCAGGGCCCAAGCACTTGGGCCATCCTCCACTGCACTCCCTGGCCACAGCAGAGAGCTGGCCTGGAAGAGGGGCAACCGGGACAGAATCCGGCGCCCCGACTGGGACTAGAACCCGGTGTGCCGGCGCCGCAAGGTGGAGGATTAGCCTAGTAAGCCATGGTGCCGGCCAATAAATAAATAAATCTTAAAAAAAAAGACCTTCTGGGTTGGGGGGCCCCCCAGCGGGCCAGATGCAGTTCCACAGCCCTGTGCCTCTTAACTGCTTTCCCTGCTCTCTATGCCTGCTCCTTCTGGGATCCAGATATCCTTGTCCCCCAAACTCCCCTAGCCGAGAGCTGATCCTTCTCAAAGGAGTCTTTTCCAGGAAGTAAAGTTAGGTGCAAAGGCAGACAAAAAAGAAACTTTGAGAGACAAAGACTACATCAGTTCACCCCCACCCCCACCCCCACCCCCATCACTTTCTTTTCTTTTATTCCATGGAAAGTGTGAGTTCTCTTTCACAAACTTTTTGTTTTATTTTAAAAATTTTTGACAGACATATAACAACTGTGCCTATGTACAGAGTACTGTGTGATGGATCATTACATGTATATGCTGTGCAATGTGTTATCAGAGTAAATATATTTTTTTCTTTCAAGCATTTCACATTTCTTTATAGGGAAATCCTAAACCCTATCTTCTATGTATTTTTAATACAGAAATACACAGGACATTAACATCGTCTATACTTACCCTACTGCACAGCAGACCCCCAGAACTTGGCACTGTTATCTAGCTATAACCTAGCATCCACCAATCAACCTTTCTCAGTCCATGCCCTCACTTTCCTTTCTTGATGCAGCTGAAGTCAAATCACTGATGGGCTTAGCATGATTCGGTTTCCAGAAGGCTTAGTAGGTCGACATCTTTGGGGAGCCATGGACTCCTTTTGCAGTCCAGGGACACCTGCGGACCCCTTCTCTGGATAATATTTCTAAATGCACAACATGAAATACCCAGACTTGCAAAGGAAACCCATCAAGTTAAAATGCAGCCATCCACCTGTTCCCTAAAATGTAATATCTGTTTCTGACCAAGTCACAGGAGCTGCTAACGCCCCTGTGGTTTATTGTCCCCATTCATCATTGGAGAAACTGCTGCTTTTCAGCTCGAGATTAAAAGTAAAAGTAAAGAGGTAATTTTCCCATCCAAATTCCAAACTCCACCCCACACCCCTTCTCCTGCCCCTCTCTCGATCTCTTGTTCTAGAAGGCCCCTTAGTTAAGAACCCCTGCTCGAAAGGGTCTGTAACTGGATTGGAATCAGCTTGCCATTCATGATGATGGCTTGAGTTCTGCTCACCTGATTTCCAAGCTTGCCCCGGAATGGACCTCCCACAAAGCCCCGGTTTCCCACTGGGAATCGCTTGGAGCTGTCGGCGCATTGCCCCAGTGCTGACGGTTGCTGTGCGCTGTGTCCACTGAACAACAACTGGCCCTTTCATACAACTCTGCCTAATGAGTCATGCAGGCAGCTCCCAGATTTTCCAGAATTCTCTCAGCCTAATCTTATACTAGAAAATCCCCTATGCCTGCCTAGCAACACCAACTCTGCCTGACCCAAATATGACTCTTTTCCAGCTAGTTCCTAGGACACAGCTCCTGAGAATGCAGAGGTGGTCCTTTAAACCAGAACGTAGCCTCACTCTTGGCCTTGAGGTGGCCAGCCCAGTTCTTTCCAGGGGGTGGGGACCAACCAGATGATCTCATCAGAGCCCTCCTTCTTGGGGGATGTTTAGTCTGTTCCCTTGTGTGCTCCAGCCTTCGGGGTTCACTCACCTAAAATGATGTAGCTTGGGATCCACTGCAAAACAGAGAGGGTCTGGAGACCCTCCTGGAGATCTAGTCGGGAGAAGAAGGTCACAGTCATGGTGCTGTTCTCTTGTGGCCAGAAGCCCAACCAGAAGCTGAAAATCACTTAAGCTGAGTTGATTGTAAGTGCTTTGCTGTAATCTCTTATCCCTGAATCTGTTTAGCTGCTAGGGTTTTGTCAGGCTTGACCAAACCTTTCTTCCACTTTCCTCTACTCACTGCCCCGCCCCAAGTTCCTACACACGTATCAGCTTGCAGATCAGACTAGCTCATCTCCCCAGCGTGTATTCTTTCTCCATGTGTCTCTGGTCTTAATGAAGCAGAAACAGTTTGGGGCTTACTGTAGCTGTGGGAAGTGATCCCTGATACATTTGTGCAGGAATAGAGACCAGTTAGGGTCTCAAATAGGACTTCCAAAAACCATCCTGCTGCTTTTTCCTGTTTCACAAAAGGGACCTGGCAATATCTCTTGTCTTTGCTGAGAGCCACCTAGCCCATTTGGGCTCTTTTCCCACGCAGATACTTGGCCTTCTTCTTTTTCTTTTTTTAAATATTTATTTATTTACTTGAAGGGTAGAGTTACAGAGAAATAGAGACAGAAATCTTCTATCTGCTGGTTCACTCCCTAAATGGCCACAACGGCTGGGGCTAGGCCAGGCTGAAGCCAGGAGCCAGGAACTCCCTTGAGGTCTCCCACTTGGGTGGCAGAGACCCAAGCACTTGGGCCATCTTCCACTGCTTTCCTGGGCACATCAGCAGGGAGCTGAATCAGAAGTGGAGCAGCTGGGACTTGAACCATCACTCTCATATGGGATGCCGGTGCTGCAGGCAGAGGCATAACCATAACACGGGTGCCTCAGATCCTTCTTTATGCCTCTCTTCCAGGGGGCTCTGTAGCAGATAGCAGAGAGGGAGAAGCATGGCTCAGAGCGCAGAACTGGATTTCAGTCCTCACTCTTCCTGTAAGAATCACCTTTGGAAATTTCTGTGTATTCCAGAACTCAGTTTGAGCATTCATGGTTGCAAGACAGATGGCTTGAGTTCCAGTCTCAGCTCTGTCACTTACAAGTTGGTGAGCCTTTGGGGCTCACTTTCTTCATCTATAAAATGGAGATACTGAGAGTACTAACTTAATAGGTTTGTTCTGAGGACTAAATGAATGAATGAACTTAAAATGTTTGGCACAGGGGCTGGCACACAGTAGACACTGTGTAAATGTTTCTGCTTATCATGGTTCATTTAGTTCAATTCTTGTCTCTTGAATATCTACTAGTTTCAGGCTAAGCATTTTACTTCTGCACACTGGCTTTGCAAAAATTCAAGGTTGGATTGGCATAGCTCCGGCCATAGTGGCCATCTGGGGGGTGAACCAATGGAAGGAAGACCTTTAATAAAAAAAAATTTAAGGTACTCCCTGGGTTGTAAACTTTTTTTAAAAAAGATTTAACTTATTTGAAAGGCAAAGTTACAGAGAGGCAGTGGCAGAGAGAAGAGAGACAAGTCTTCTATCTGCTGGTTCACACCCCCAAATGGCCACAACGGCCAGAGCTGATCTGATCCGAAGCCAGGAGCCAGGAGCTTCTTCCAGGTCTCCCACATGGGTGCAGGGGCCCAAGGACTTGGTCTACCTTCCACTACTTTCCCAGGCCATAGCAGAGAGGGGGATCGGAAGTGGAGCAGCTGGACTTGAACATGCCAGCACTGCAGGTGGCAGCTTTTACTGGCTATGCCATAAACTTTTGAAATGTTTTTCCCATCACTATATGTTGAGTGGCTACTGTTCATCAGGCACCATTGTTAGGTGCTGAGGATTTGGTGGGGAAGAAGACAGACATGATTCCTGCCTTCACTGAGCTTACAGACTAGGGAAGGAGACAAATAGTAAAACAAGGAAATTAGGGCCGGCATTGTGGCGTAGCAGATAAAATTGATGCCTATGATGCCGGTATCCCATATGGGCACCAGTTCAAGTTCTGGTTGCTCCACTTGCAATCCAGCTCCCTGCTAATGGCCTGGGAAAGCAACAGAGGATGGCCCAAGTGTCTGGTCTTGAGACCTGAAAAGAAGACCTGAAAGAAGCTCCTGGCTCCTGCCTTGTAGCCATTTGGGGGAGTGAACCAGCAGATGGAAGATCTTATTCTCTTTTTGTCTCTCCCTCTCTCTCTGTAGCCCTGCCTTTCAAATAAATAAAGAAATTTTTAAAAATAAATAAATAAATAAAAAGCAAGGAAATAAACAATGTCTGTACACTTGGATTAGTGATCAGTTTCCTATGGGAAAAGGCCAATAGTCTCAGCTTAAGACCTAAACCACACAGGGTGCTCAAAACCTCTGTTGGCCAGAACTGAAAGGATTGCTAGGAAAACTGTATACACCAGCCAGGTCCTACCAATGCAAGGGAACACTGATCCCTTAGCCCTTTCCAGGCAGAACTCTGCCTTCTCCCTGCTTCCCACTCTGCTTTGGGCCTCCTGGTCGGGCTGACGAACATGAGTCTGTGGAGATGAGCTCAGGGAACTTTTCCATGGGTTGTCCATGCTTCATTTCCCCCTGACTTTGGATGGCCACTCAGCATGTCAGCTCTTTCTCCTCCTCTTCTCTCTTTCCTTCTCTTCTGGGCTAGCTGGGGTTCCCAAACTGCTTCTTGGGTGCAGTTCAGTGGCAGACAGGACGAGATGCATTGGAGCACATTTGCTCAGACTTTGCAGAGGGGGAAGAAAAAGAGGCAGGCCTGGCTCTTCTGGGGGTGAGCAGGGGGGAAGAAGCACAGCTGCAGAGGTACCCAGAGTCCCCAGGACACAGAAGACTCACAGGGTCGAGAACTCCAAAGACCGCTTAGAGATCAAGTGTGCACTTCCCTGCTTTCACAGATGGGTAAATGGACAAGATCCAGAGGGGGTCACGCAGGCAACCAGAAGCAGGGCAGGGCCAGGCTGTTTCCCTTCTCTGTCTCCCTAATATCTGTCTCAGGGCCTCGTTACAGAGGTAGGCACTCAAGTAAGTGCTTGTGGAACCCATGAGGGAGGACGGCTCTCCTGGTGTGTTAAGCCAGATTGGCAGGGCTGGACCAAGACCCTGATGGTGTCACCCTTTCTTCCCCCAAACGGAGAAGGTGTTAGCCAAGCAGGAGCTGCCTTGGGCCAACTGGACAAGTGTAGCATAAACATCAGAGACCACAAAAAGAACAGGGAGAAAAGTAGGGCAGCAGAGGAATGCGCTCACAATTCAACCAAGCAAACACTGAAGGCTGACATGGTTTCCAGCCTCGAGAGACTCTCAGAGGTCAAAACAGACAAGCACGCCAGAAGGTGTGGGGTACACAGAAGAGAGAAGCACCTACTGGCCTCCTGGGGAGTACAGGGTGCCAGGCAGGCCGTGTGGAGGAAAGGATGCTGAGCTGAGCAGAAGTGGGTGAGGTGAAACAGGCCTAGAAGGGCTGCCCAAGAAAGAATGCTGAGAGGGGTCAGTGCTGTGGCTTAGCAGGCTAAGCTTCCGCCTGCCGCAATGCCATCCCATATGGGTGCTGGTTCTAGTCCCAGCTGCTCCACTTCCCATCCAGCTCTCTGCTATGGCCTGGGAAAGCAGTGGAAGATGGCCCAAGTCCTTGGGCCCCTGCACCCACGTGGGAGACCCAGAAGAAGCTCCTGGCTCCTGCCCTCAGATCGGCTCAGCTCCGGCCGTTGTGACTATTTGGGAGGGTGAACCAGCAGATGGAAGACCATTCTCTCTGTCTCTCCCTACCCCCTCTCTACAGCTCTACCTCTCAAAAAAATAAAAAAAAAATCTTAAGCAGAAACAAAAAAGAATGAAAGAAAGAAGGAGAGACTGCTATGAAGTCGCCATCCAAGAAGGAATGGAGGTCTGGGAGAAGCTGGGCCATTGTGGGACTTTGAAGGAACAACAGGAAACCAAGAAAGAAGGAAAGTGAAAGCAGAAGAGGAAGATGAAGGGGACCAGGGAGTCCAAAAAGACTGGGGGAAACACGAGTGGTTCTCAGAAAGAACCGGCCCAGGGTTCTTTTCTTTCTGGATTCAAACCTTCACTGTCAGCCCCAGAACGACTCATTTCTAGAAAGCTTTCACTGGCTGAGGTCTTGCAAAAATGTGTTTGCTTCTGCTCTTCTCCCTCTGCCAAACCTTTATTTGCTTAGGCATCGGGGTTTCAGTTCTATTACAAACAGTAATGGGAAACTTAGGTAATGCCAGGTATGAGGCTAGGCACTATAGCTGAGAAAGCTTCACAGAGTTTCTGGACAATGGAATTGAAAAATAAGTTTGGGGTCAGGCATTTGGTGCAGTGGTTAAGCCACCTCTCTTTTTAAAAAAATATTTTATTTATTTATTTGAGAGATTGAGTCACAGACAGTGAGAAGAGACAGAGAGAAAAGTCCTCCATCTGTTGGTTTGTTCCCCAGATGGCCGCAATGGCTGAAGCTGCGCCGATCCAAAGCCAGGAGCCAGGTGAATCTTTCCTGGTCTCCCATGTGGGTGCAGGGGCCCAAGCACTTGGGCCATCTTCCACTGCTTTCTCAGGCCACAGCAGAGAGCTGGATTGGAAGTGGAGCAGCCAGGACTAGAACCGATGCCCATATGGGATGCCAGCACCACAGGTGGAGGATTAACCTACTGCGCCATAGCGCCAGCCCCTAAGCCACCTTTTGGGACACCTGCATCCCTTGAGCAGGTGCCTGATTTGAGTCCCGGTTTCTCCGCTCCCCATCCAGCTTCCTGCTAATGCACACTCCAGGAAGGCAGCAGGTGATGGCTCAAAGTGCTTGAATCCCTGCTACCTGTGTAAGAGACACAGACTGAGTTCTGGGCTCCTGGTTTCAGACTGGCCCAGCTCTAGCTGTTGTAGGCATTTGGAGAGTGAACCAGCCCATGGAAGAGCTCTCTTTTCTGTCTCTCTGTCCTCTGTCTCTCTGCCTCTCAAATAAAATGAAAATAGGTAAAAGTAAAAATAAAAGATAAGTATGGGGTGGGCATTTGGCCTAGTGGTTAAGCTGTTGTTTGGGATGCTTGTGTTCCATATGGGAGTCCCTGGGTAAGAGTCCTGGTTCTGCTCCCTACTCTAGCTTCCTGCTGATGCACACCCCAGGAGGCAGCAGATGATGGCTCAAGTGCTTAGGACCCTGCCAT